AAGAGGAGGAAATTAATCAGATATACTCTGTTAAAACAGCTATACACTCTCTTTTAATAATTTGTTTTGTTATAGTCTCTCTTTACTTTATCTTTTTCTTTATCTTTTTCTTCTTTCAATTTCTTTCTATCTATTTATTTAATGTGTCTATCTTTGAGACTGTGTTCTTTTTCTCTTTTCTTTTGTCATGATATTGTCAAATGGTTTCAAAGTATCAAAAGATGTTAAAACACTGCAATTTGTAAACAGTTTTTGTATTCTGGGCTGGAATTTTCTGATTTTGCATATCTGAAATTGATGAATGTATAATAGTTAACTTTACAGACATAGAAAAAACTCTGAGAACTAAAGTTCTCAGGTAGATGTCATAGTCTCTGACTGCATACATCTATAATTGAAGAATAATAATAATAATAATATACTGAATAGACTGGCTGCTGAGACTATGAATTTCACATTTGATTTCATTTGATCTGATCTCATACATTTCTTGGCGTGAATCCCGCTGGGACTGGCTATTAAAAAAACATGTAAAGTGACTATATATCAGATCTTAAAATGAAACCATGACTTGAAAAAAATGAGAAAGTGGTCTTATTTGGTCTTATTTAGTCTCATTCTTGACATACAGTTACTATTTTTAGACATTTTAAGGTTTTTTTTAAACTATTTTTAATTTTTTAAAAAGTAATGCTTTTTGATAATGCTCAAATGAGATTTAAAGTCATTTAAAGCAATAAAAATAATTTAAATTGAGAAGTGAAAATCATGATCTTATTTAAAAAATGTGATAAGAGTAGACAGTAAGTTTCACTGAGACAGTATGAGATCACTATCTAATGTTAAAACCGTGTAATGAGATCAGTTGAATTGGTAATGAGACTATCAAAAAATCTGATTCTGGTTTCAGACACGGGCACATGATCAGTCTAATACTGAATGCAATCTTTTATATTATGATTTTAATGTCTGCAGTTGAAGCAAGCTTGATACTTATAATATTAAGATTTTCACTCAGAGAATCTCTTTTTCAGAGAATTCAGCACTTTAACAATGATATTCAAATCTAGATTTATTATATTCAGATGTGTGACTTGTATTATAAAAGTCTGATTATTTATTCTCTGTTAAGATATACTCAATTACAGTATTTTCTATTATAATTAACTTACTTATTTCTGTATAATGAGAATATTGTATGCTTTCTTCACTGTATCTAACTGTGAGATTAAGTATTTTCATTCTACTTTTAACTCAGATATAAGATCATGAATAAAGATCTGTAAACAGAAAGATATTGAAAGCTCTTCATTCAATGTAAGATAGTATAAACTGAAGTATATAAAGTATAATATAAGATTATTCACTTATCTACACTCAGTGAAGTGTTTATAATACTTATCTTATATATTCACTTTCTCAAAGTTATGTAAGATTCATTTGAAAAACTCATTTTATATTTATAAGAATGAATATCACTTCAGATCTGTGAGATTTATCTTTTTATCAGTTATTTATAATGACTTCACTTTTCTATATAGAAATGCAGCAGATCTTAAGACTTGTTGAAATTTCATTAACTATCTGTCTGTAAGTTCATGTTCAATTCAATAATATAATTACATCTGACTTAGTCAGCTGATTGCAGCATTATTTTTTCAGTCATCATTGAAGCTTAATGACTCTGACAGATCTTCTGACTTAATGTATTTCATATTTGAATTCTCATTCTGCACAGCAGTCTCTGATAATGTGTGCACTTCTGAAGAGATTATGAATAATTATGATGAGATCTTCAGATTCAATATAGTTATCTATAAATATTCAATCTCTTACTGCAGATCTAAGACCTGATTTTCTCTATTCTTATTAATAATGATGATTATATCAATGAAGCTCTTCATCATGAATACTTGATTTACAGTGAATGCTAATTGTTGTTTAACTTCTGCCTCAGTCTGTCACTGTATATACAAGGTCTCAATTTCATTTAGAATTCTTATATATATACAGAGCTTTGATTTCAGTTCAGTAGTCTCAGCTGCTTTTCTTACTATTTTGAGTAAATTCTCTGAGAGATTCTGCATATCTTTCAGTTCAGATAGCAGAGAAGAATGTTATTCATATTAGTTAGAGAAGATATTCATTTCAGTGATTTCTTATTGATTATATAATATCTATTGTTATATTACTATATTATTATATAATTTCTATTATTATTGTATGACTTCAGTAGTAATTATCTCTTTCTTCTTTTTATTCTTCTTTTGAGTAGAGAGTGAACTTCTTTGAATCTGATTCATTACTTTCATTCTCTTTCTCACATCTTATCTGTTCACATTCATGACATTTATCTGAGTATGAAGTTTTTCTTCAATAAGTAAAGCAGTATTAATCAGATACTCTTTCACTCATCACTCTTCATTAGACTAGCCGCCGGGACCATGAATTTCACATTTGATTTCATTTGATCTGGTTTCATACATTTCTTGGCATGAATTCTGCTGAGACTGACTATTAAAAAAACATGTAAAGTGACTATATATCAGATCTTAAAATGAAATCATGACTTGAAAAAAATGAGAAAGTGATCTCATTTGATTTCATTTAGTCTCATTCTTAGCATAAAGTTACTATTTCTAGACATTTTAAGGTTTTTTTTAGACTATTTTTAATTTTTTAAAAAGTAACACTTTTTGATAATGCTTAAATAAGATTTAAAGTCATTTAAAGTAATAAAAATAATTTAAATTGAGAAGTGAAAATCATGATCTCATTTGAAAAATGTAATAAGAGTAGACTACTGAGACAGTATGAAACTACTATCTAATATTAAAACTGTGTAATGAGATTAGTTGAATTGATAATGAGACTATTAAAAAATCTGGTTCTAGTTTCAGACACGGTCACACAGTCAGTCTACTCTTCATATACTATCTTTTGAGATGTTCTAGAATCACACTGATATAATAACTATAAATTACTTTGTAGATGAAATTATCATGCTCTGAAGAAGACTGCACTTCTCACTGATTTTTAGACATACTACTAGATATGATTCAAAGATTTCTCTTCTCAGTGTATAATTACAAATGTACACTGACTTCTTATATATTATATGCTAAATTAATTAGTGGCTGCTATAACCTCTTTACATTTATAAGTAAGTTTGAAAGCAGCCGCGTTATTATCTGACAGTTGTATGTTCTTTCAAATCACAATGTGAAGAATTTTTAGTAAGTATCACTGCAGTGCTGAGTTAATTCTATAAAGTTACTCAGTGAAAGACTTTGCAGATGAAGTCTTAGAGAGAAAGAAGTATATAAGAAATCTTACTTCTCACAGATTCTTTATCTCTATTTCTATCTCTTATATAATTAATAGAGTTAGTGACTCTTGACTACATATAACTATATAGACTGAAGTTCACAAATACTATTCATAACTCAGCTTGAATACTATTATATATTTAATTTCTACATTTTATTTTTCTACTGTGAATACTTCTAGTAATTAACAGTACATATTATATCAAGCTGTAAACACTTGAATAATTATCTGTAAGTACTTATTCTTACAAGTTTCATTATTAATTTAATTAATCTCATTACATAGTATTAAGATTAGATAGTTATTATTATTATTATTATTATTATTATTATTCTTTCATTATACTCATATGCAAGCGGAGCTTATGATGAGTCCTTGCGTAATGTTAAATACAGGTCAAGTGTTGATTATACAAAAGGAAATACAGGTGTTGAGATCACATCAAGATAACAAGAACATAGAAAATACAAAGAAGTGACAATTAGATACATGCGATAATAACTTCCCAGCCCAGAAATATAGAGCAATTTTATTGAAGTGATTTGTATATCTCTGTATTTATTAGAAACCTGAGGTGCTTGAGTTCTGAATTTAATGTATTCCCTGCAGGTTTCAAACCCACACATCTTGGTTTCCTATGCCAAGGCGCTACTGAGTGGCCGCATTAACCATTCAGTCACTGAGAAAAGATTAGATAGTAGTCTTATACTATTTTAATAAGATCTACTATTTACTCTTATTATATTTTTAAAATGAGATCATGATTTTTACTTCTTAATTTTAATACATTTTATTGCTTTAAATAACTTTAAATCTTATTTAAGTGTTATCAAATATTATTACTTTTTGAAAAATTAAAAATAGTTTAAAAAAACTTTAAAATATCTAAAAATAGTAACTTTATACTAAGAATGAAATTAAATGAGATTAAATAAGATCACTTTCTTAATTTTTCTAACTTATAGTTTCATTTTGAGATCTAATTAATAGTTACTTTACATGTTTTTTTAATAATTAGTCTCAGTGAAATTCATGTCAAGAAATGTACAAGATCAGATTAAATAAGATTAAATATAAAATTCATAATTCTGCTAATCAGTCTACTACTATTAATAGTCTGATTTTAAGTTTTTAATTTTTTCTATTTTTTCTATTTTCAGTTTTATTTTCTGAATTATATCAGTCTTCTGTAAAATTTTCAGTAATAGATATTTTTAATTTTATATATAAATTTAATTCTTTAATTATATATCTGCTTCATTAAATTGAAATTATCTGTTTAAATAAAATAGTAATTAAGAAAGATATCAGATTATCTCTTTATAAGTTAACTATTTCTACTTATACTTACTGCAGTTACTACTTCATATAATTAATCAGTAATTATAATTTCTTAATAGAAAATTATACAGTAGCTAGCTTCTTATAAAATAACTAAGTACTTTAAAACATTAATTCATTTTTAAATGATATTACCAGAAATTCAAACTTCTTTTATTATATATTAAATACTGTTTTAAAAACTATCAGTTTATCTATATTAATCTGTTACTACTTTATAACTACTATATAAGTATATTATATACAGTAGATATCTCTATATTAAGTGAGAGTCAGAACTCAGTAGCTGTTACTACTAAACTAATTATGAACATTTTAGATAAATTATTAAATTGAATAAATATTTACTGACTTAACTATATATATTGTATATAATAATAAATATGCATTGGGTGGGGTTTTCCACTGCTTGTCTGTTCTTGGAAACACACGAGCCTCCTGGGCTGACTTGAGCCTCAAATCGTTCAACGAATCATGTTCATTCGTCGGGTCAGTTTCGGTTCCGAAAGAGCATTAATTGTCTTATCGCCGGCCCCATTACCGTTGAGGATATGGCGGAAGGAATAGAAATACGCCTTTCATGGAAATGCCACTTTGAAGATGGAAAAGGAGCCATACACATATATATATATGTACATTACATATGTATACATGCTATGTGGTCTCGATTCCTTTGTGCACTGCCGAAGCTTCTTTGCTTTCTCCGATGGAGAGGAACGAAATTTAAGCTTACTGGTTCTCCCAACCTAAACCCGTATTGTATCTCGACTCTCGAGATGGTTCCTAATGGGACCGGGAGAAAAATTCTTTTTCGACCCTCTTCCCTACGCTTCCCTTGGGCTCTTGGGTGTCTGGGTCCGACCCATCTCGGAGAACGGTGGGCCGATAAGAGCGGATGTCTTCCATGGTTTGTGGGCTTTGGAATTCGAATATGCTTTTTTTGAAGGGAAGAGAACTTCCTTTTTCTCCATTTCATACATAAGGCGAATGCGAAGGGGATGTCAGAGCATTTCTTCTCCAGCGTGTTATTGCTGCGGAATGGGAAGACGCAGGGCCTGTTTAAAAAAGAGCACACCGTGATTGGCCATTTCAGCAATTAGGTCCGGGATTGTAGAGAAATGGACAGGGCAGCCCTATGGATCCAATAACCAACCAGACCTTGTACATTACATTACATACCTAGAAAAGGTACATGTACCGTACCGTACATATCCATGTATCGTATCATACGGTATATACGATACGCTACACTAGGTAACGAACCCACGGGCAGACACACGCACCGAGCTGTATTGAAACTGGAGCGGGTAGTTGTCCCCGATAGAGCACTCCGCAAAATAGAATAATAACAACCAAACGAAAGGGTCAAAAAGCGCTGTTTCGCCGTCAGCGGGCGAACCAGCAGGCAGTTCCATTCAATTCTCGTGTTTTGATTGACCATAACCAGGTGTAACAGTGATATTTTATATAATCCTCGGGCGCCGGGAGAGGAGGGGGGGAGAGAGGGTTTGTATGTACTGTACTCTGTACATATGATCGTGCTCTTTCTGAAACTCGAGGATTCTACTCCAGGTTAAGCTTTCTTGACGGAGACGAGTGCGATCTTAGTTGGATGGTTAGTTATAACTATAGTAGCGAAATAATCACTCTTTGTTTCTCAGCTATTTATTTAAATTACAGTACGTTCCCAATGCTGCCCCCATGTTTCAAAGCCCTTTTCCCAATGTCTTTCCCGTCGATTCAACTGCAATCGGCTTGAAACTGCGGCGAGTACAACTATCCCCAAATGTGAAAGCCTGGATAGAAGCCATATATTTTTGACTTGATTTTGAATTTTTGCCTACTCTGTTTCAAAATTCCTGCATGCTCCAACAGCTGTTGGGTTGTACCTGTTATGGAACTGGACATGGAATATCTTGCCTCGAGATGAAGAAGCTATCCATATAAACAATCGGGAGAAACAGGACAGCTGGTAGACGCACAAGCTAATGGCTGCACAAGCTGCCAACTCCAGATACATATAGACGGTCATATAGGTTGTGTAGTGTGATAGCAGCAGTCTAGGCCATATCAATGGAGGGATTTCTCTTTTACATAGCCTCTTCTAGATATTTAGTGCACATGTTCAGTACATAGTTACTAGACAAGTAGTTGTGTGGAGAGTCATCAGCTCTATCTAAACCTCTGTAGAAGGAAGAAAATTGCTGAGTAAGGAAAGTAAGCACTCTTCAGAGATTACCTTTCTGCCTCCATCAAAAGAAAGAGTCTAACATGAAGGTATGTAATGTGAAGGAAAAACAAGGAGTAAAGCAGAGAAAGGGGGGTAAGTGTGAATAGTAGAGAAGAGTGAAGAGTCACAATCTAACCTGCCATGCTTCATTTAGACAAAGTTAATTGACAACCCTTGTCCCGTCTCGTTGTCGGTAGGCATATAAAAATAAAAGATGAATTATTGATATTGATGAAGTAGAGAAAATGAGGTGTGAATTAACAGCAAAGAATTTCCAGCATTTGAAGAAGCAGTTAAGTTACTTCCACAAAGATAATCATATAATATGAAGATGATGATGCTATCACTAGCATCAATTCTGCCCTTTACTCTAGCAAGGACAGAATTCATACGTACATACAGTCAAACATTATTCTCTTTAAACTAGTAACTAGTTATGAATTCTGCATCATAAGCATGTGAGTTATGATCTTATAAATGACCAGTCCAAATGAAGGTTTTCAAAATCTGCTAACTAGTGGTTATGCCGTCGAAGGAGGTTGGGGATGTGAGTTATGGTTATTAACTGATTGAAACAGGTTAGCACCCTGTATGTTAGATAACCGGAAATCAAGGCAATGAAGGTGAGGTGTCCATATGTCCTCGAGTTATTACAATCTCCTCTTGAAGATATTAATAATTTAGCTTGAGAATGCTGCAATATACCGCAGGCGGCGCCGCATCAGGGCGTATCGTATGCAAAGAAATATTCATATGAGGGTTTTTTTTCTTTCTTCTTTTGCTTCTTTTTTTTCCCCTTCTTTCAAACAGAAGAAATCTTTTGAGATACTTTTCTGCAACTCTAGTTACGCCACATGTAATCAGCGTTTAAACAAAAGGCTACTCACCGCTAACTGATCTTTGGATTGAGATATATCTGACATTACTATTGCTTTCATATATTGTAAGAAAACGGGGGTTTTTCCTAATTATGAGCATCATACGATTGATAAGTCTTCAAAGATCAGAGGGGAGAAAGGGGAAAGGAACCTCGCTATATAGAGTTATTATGTCTTGGCCGAATAGCTCCGCACTCAATAAAACAGGGAAAACAGGGCAGGATCAGGGGGAGGGGCTTTTGACCGTTCAGTGAATTCCCCAGGTCTTGTATTCGGCTCTTTTTTTCATTTTCGGCGGGCCAAGACTGACAGGAACCTGGGATTCCGCTCAAGACGGACCGAGCGATTGACGAAAGCAAAGGCATCTCAATAATACTGTACAAGTCATTCCAGCTCCACATATATTTTTGTCCTGGGGACAGTGGGGAGTCAATTATTATTATTAAATGACGAGATGGACTTCGGTCAGCGGTACTTTAATTTGGTAGTTACCTCCCTCCCTCAGTGAACTATTTATTCCAAGGTACGCATGTTGGATAAATGCACGTTGTGTCTTGCATTTTATTTCAATTGTGTTTTGAAACTGATCGGGGATTAATCTCCGTTTGTGAGGACGCGGGCAGCTCTGTCGATTTAAGGCTATTAAATGATTATTTCCACTGGGTTTTCTTCTCTTTTGTCTTTTTTCTTTTTTGTCTTTTTTGAGTTTGATAAAAAGGAATAGCTACCTAGCACCAAGGTTGAGTTTTGGTTTGAACGCGACGTATTTGATTACTATTATCCTGGTGAGTACGGATTGTGGGGGAGGAAATAATAGCCATGGATTTGCGCGTCTCTACTGACTCTCCAATCAGAATCTGTCCAATTGATCTCAGATGGGATGGATGGAACTCAAACGCTTTGCTTGCGTGGAGACAAGGAGACATGGATACAAGGATTTTTTTAGGGCTTGAGGACGCGAAAGACGAACGCAAACCAGGAACCAGCCAGCCACGAGGGGCAATGGTGACAAAGATACAGTGCATGAATAGTTTAACTGTCTTGAGCGTTCGGCCGGCCAGTGACTTTCATTCTTCATTCTATCAGCCGGTCCTAACAGGAGTGAGAATGAGAGCTGGGATCGAATAGATGTTAGATAAATTCGATAACTCGACACAAGTTAATGTGGCATACTTCTACTACTTACTAGATAGGTATACTCACTTCTTTCAGAGACAGGAGAGAGCAGAGAGGAGAGAGGAGGAAGGGAAGAGAAGGACAACCCCGGCGGCCCCTTTACTCTTTACTCCATAACTACTTCAACCAACTGCCAGTTAATAAAAATAGTTAATAGTTGCCAACCAGCGCCGTGAGAGTGAAGGCAGCTGTAACACGATGAAACCTGCTTATTACTTACAAACATTCCCGTACGGCGTAAGCATACGCATACACATTCATACAGATACATGCATACATACGCATACATACGTATAGATACAAGCCACCCCCCCAAGCGAGGAAACAGGCAGCGCTCAGCCTTCGCAGCGTCCAAGCCAATGGAGTAGTTGAGCCTCCCCAAGCCGCCCCCGGTTCAAGCTAGCCGCGCCTGTGCAGGAGACAAGACGCGGCGATACGGGGATTACCTAGATACAGTTCATGTATGGATGTACACTGTAGTCATACGTACAGGCTCCGATACTACGCCGGCCCAGGCAGGGCAGTGATTGTTACAAGTACTTTCCATACTCCATAACATCGAACTCCGTTACTGGCCTTGCTTCCTAGTTTGTTTGTTAGGTTAGCTAACTAACCTTCTTGCAACGCTCTCTGCTTCCCTTTTCTTCGTCCTCTTCTCTCATCTTCCTCTTCCTCTTCTTCCTCTTCTCCTCTCCTTTGTGTCTCAACTCCCTCTCCTCCTCTCTTTTCTTCCGTTTCCCTCTGGAGAGTTCATCCTCCTCCTCTCCTCCTCTCCTCCTCCCCCTCCCCAACCTGTTAATTCCCAGGAGAGAGAAAGCTGGGGAAATCTGGTGCGTCTGGTGTGGCTGACCTCGATCGTTGACTGTCATCCAGTCACCTTCATCGTCTCCCACCTTTCTTCCATTTCTCCTCAAACCACCGCCCCCTCCGTGTCGAGCCTTTTTATTTTTTTCGAGGGTCTTCCTGACCTTCGATTCTCGACTCCTCTTCTTCCTCCTCTTCCTCTTCTTTCGTCCCGCTCCGTTTCCTTTTATTCCCCCCTTCCTCCCTCTCCCCTTTTTCGACGGTGCCTCCCTCCCCTTCTCCAATTGTGACATTGACGGTTCTTTTATTGCCGTTCGTCTTCAGTTTCACCACCCGAGTTAGAAGAGAGTAAAAAGAAAATATATAAAAAATTACAATAAGAAAAACCAGCAAGAACAAAAAAAAAAAAAAAAAAAAATCCCTTGGGTCGTCTGCTCTGGGACTCTTTTCTGCTGGAAAAGGTAAGCTCAATTGTGGTTTCTTTTCCTTCTTCTGGCCACATCCCAACTTTCCACGAGTAAATCAACGACTCCAATGCCCAATTGCTGGTGTACGTCCGTCCTCCCTCCATCCTCTCGACTACGCCCTCCTGTCTTCCCCCCAGTTTGTCCATTGGCAAGCCATTATGAGATTTGGACGCAGAGAAAACACGAATATAGTTCCCGCCACCATACCCGTTTGTCCATAGCATAGCACGTTAGACGTCCTGTGCCAACTTGCTTTGTTCCCGTTTCGAAGGCTAGTCGAGCCGAAAAGGACATATTTTCTGTTATATATCAGTTGAGGAGCGTGGAATGGAATATCTGGTGCTTGCGGCTCGTGCCTATAGCAAATCTTCCTCACCGGGTTAAACCGTCCAGACTTTCATACACCTTCATCAAATGCATGCAATAGGGGCTGGGCTATATCGATGAAAACGCGTGTTCAGCAAAGAACTTTTATGCGTGCATATTTCAATTCGTCACTTGTTACCAAGCAGGCCCCCTTTAAATCTGCTTTAATCTCTGAAGTTGCCCGATTTGGAAGCCTACTGGAATAACATACTAATATTTAACTTTAAAAATACATAGATCTCAGCGTCAATAGGCATTGAGCCTCTCCTTGCGTTCGGTGAGGATTGTTTTCATACCGCGGACTCGCCCACGCCAAAGTCAGGCAACCCTGTGAAGGTACGCTGGACGCTGCTACTATCAACTAGCTCCTTTTTTTCTACCTCGCTCCAGAAGGGACTAAGATCCTTTAACCCCATATCGAACATAAATTGACATTTTTGTTCCCCAGGCTCTGCAATTGTACACTGTGGAACTTCTTTTTTCCACATCAGTAGTAATCTAGCAGCTTAAGTTGTTGGCTTGACAGGTGGAGACGTTGACTCGTCGTTCACCCGGCCATTTGCCGTCGATTTTCGAATTCAACCTTACCCGAGTTCCAGATTAGATGACGCGACTGCTACTGAAGTAAGGGTGACCATTTGCCCTTCTTGCTAAACGTCAAACTGGGTATGCCCTCCTATATCTATATTATCCCGTCGAATATCCGCACACTCTTACTCTCACCCAATTGAACTACTACTGACATGAAAGCACACGCCGTTCTAGCTTTTTTTCACTTTCATTTTATATTCGGTCGACTGACCACTTCACTTTAAACGTGCCGATTATTATCGTCACATAACTCTCCTTAATATTTCACCAACTAATTTTCAATCTTTTTACAACCCACTTAATACACGACTGTCACTCTCTTTTCCCTTCCGTCGTTTCTTTCTTCAGCTTTTGAGATATACGGGTTATATTCCAGGTCCTCTCTTTCGCGACAAGTTGACGCAACGCGTAAACTTGTCGATTTCGATTTCTCCAGAGCGTCTATCAATATGGCTTACCAACATCGCCCCACCTCGTCGTTCCAGCCGTGCGACTCATACTTCGTGGAGTCGTATGAACCAGAGTATCATGGTCCCAGGCTGGGTCCAAAAGAGCATGCAAAACTGATCGCTCGCGAACGTCAGTTTGCGATTGCTGATGAGTTATCAAAACAAGTTAGCGATGAATATCAAGATGATATTCTAGCTCACATGCTCATGATGGATGTCAGTCTCATGATATCTTTTTGATCATTGTGTTTCTCTCCCTTTTTAACTTTGGCTAACCTCGAGAATAGTCCTCGACCCTGCCGGATGTTGATTCGATTGATATCCAGACCGAGATCCAGTGGTTCATGCGTCCCTATCTCCTCGATTTCCTCATAGAAGCACATACTGCCTTCCAGCTCTTGCCGTCGACCCTATTCCTTACTGTCAACTTGTTAGATCGGTATTGTTCCAAACGCGTGGTATACAAAAAACATTATCAGTTAGTTGGTTGTGCAGCCCTACTAATTGCGGCAAAGTATGGAGATAAGAAGGATCGTGTCCCAACAATCAAGGAGCTCAAGACTATGTGCTGCTCTCAATATGACGAGGACATGTTCGTACAGATGGAATGGCATGTTCTGCAAACCCTTGGTTGGGCGATAGGTCATCCCACTGTCGACAGCTTTCTACAGCTGGCAGTTGTAGATACTCCATATGATCCAGAGGTAGAACATCTGTCGCTTTATATTTTGGAAATATCACTATTCCATAGGGACTTTGTTTCGAAACTTTCATCGGATCTCGCACGAGCTTCGCTGGCTCTCGCTCGATGCATCCTAAACCGCCCTCAACCCCGAAATACAGACTGGGCTTCGCATTATGATTCCCTGACTTTGGTAAACTTGTCTCAGCACTTGGTCCAGCCGTCGCAGGTCCTCTGCAGGAAATACTCGTCCGCACGTTATTCTCGGGCATCGAGGCTTTTAGAGCAATTCCTTGCCCACCAGGCGTCGATACCTAAGGCCTACACCCCGCCAACCCCAACAGCGGATACTTCTTCTGAACAGCTCAAACCATACAACGGAGAGATGGGGCTTGCAACACCTCAAAAACCCCAATACCAGTCGACGATGCCCAATGGATACCTGACACCACCAATCACCCCTGAAAACGAGGCGTTCGCCGGTGCTGTGAATTCCAATATCCCAAAGTCAATTCCAGGTATTACCAATGGCTCCCCGACACCGCCCTCCAGTGCCCAATTCCCACAAGCTTATCATCACCGTCTAGAGGATAACCCCTACAGCCAGCATCAGCACTTTGCTCAGCAGCAGTCCGTTGGGTACAATGGGGTGTTTTGAGATACAATCAACCGCACAACCTTTTTACTTCTACTGTTTTAGGCGCGGAATGAGCTGACTGCAGAAAAGCCCCACGACATACTACGCTAAGCTTCGCAGCCAGCCCTCAATATCGCATCGGATACTCGCCTATTGATGCACAACGCTCCCACAACAACTTCCCCGGGAGTACCTACGTCCGATTGGGATTTCCACGGGGCGCGGCAGATATCACCCGATATTAATTAATCCAGGCTTAAAAAAACGACCGAAAGGCCCTACCCTCCCCGAATATCGTGTTTTTGTTTTTATTAATTTTTTTTTATCGCATTAACTACCCAGAAATTGCGTTTGAAAAGATCAATACACACGCACGCATGTTTTTATTCATTTAGTTATTCTGAAAATATTTTTTCTATTTTCTTACTTCTAATTACCTAGTTTGATATCATCATCTGTTTGTCTTCTCGACAGGATGTATGAAAAACTTTTTTTTCCAAATCTAGCATTTTGCAAGCGCGAGTCGTTTCTAAATCGAAGATTCCAAAAATTTTGTTTTGTCTATGTATCATCTTCCCCCCCCCCCTTTTTTTCCTCTTTTTTATTTCCTTTGTTAGTGAAGCGTTCCGCGAAATTCATCCATCCATCCATCCTTGTCATTGTCATTGTCATCATCATCATCATCACCACCTCCCATTTTTCTTTCTCCCTCTCAGCTACTTGCCACTTGCCCTCTACTCAATGTACTCGTTCGGTTGTCTCCTTTTCTTCACTCCCTTATTTGCCTTATTTGCATGCAACTGTGTAAACATGTGTATGTGTCTGTGTGATTCCATTACCCTAAACCTGTACCCCTTATCCCCTACCCCGTGCCCCTCTTACACACACCCTTTAATACCGTTTTGAATATTTTATATACCCCCTCCCCCACCCATAAAGGAAACGCAGAAAAAAATTGTCCTGTAATTCCCCCCTCTTGTTTTCTCTTCCCTTCTCTTTCTACAACAAGAAGGGAAGGAGCGGTGGTTAGGAACATAAATACAAATAATGGACTCAGTCAAACACGAAAAAAAGAGCAGTGCGAATCTTTCTCTCTTTCTCTCTTTATTTTCTTTCTTTTCCATAAAAAGATAAGAAAACCGTGTCAAAGACCAACCCAAAAAACAGTGCAATCCTACAAAAAGGTTGAGAACGGGGAAGCGCGCGGAGCAGTTTCATTTCAAAGAATGCTACCTGCTGCTGCTGCTTCCCTCTTTACAAAAAAAGTCATGTTTCCCTTTTCGTTTTGAGCTTGTGACGTTGTTTTTCCGTTGCTGTCTTTGCTATGCCTGCCTCTTCTAAGAAGTTTTCGTCTCTGATGAGATGAAGGGAAGATAAGAAGGGAAGGGAAAAGTAATCAATCATAGAGATAGTAAAAAAAAAGAAAAAAAAATTGTACTCGCTTATGATCATCTCATATGAGATGCTGATGAGATAGCTTATCATCGTTGCTTTTCAGTGAGACTGTCTCCCTGATCACTCTATTGCATGCATAACTCTTATGCTGAGGAACCCTTGACGCTAGGCGCTTGGCGCTTAGAACCATTAAATTGAACAACTTCCTGCACTTTTATTTGATTTTACTTATTATTTTATTAGCGGATATTTGCTCCACTCCGCCAATGGGATCATGGGGATAGTGGATAGCAAATTGAACCAGCGCTGAAATTATTTTGAGGAGTGGAGAACTTCCAAGCACTTGGCCTAGAGGGCTGATGCAACCCTGCCTGTCTCTTCTTTCTGAATGATGACATGAATATTCATTCTTTTACTTTTATAAAGGACTTTTGAATAGGTTCGGGAGGCCAGAGGGGATAGTTGAGAGGATTCTTTTGATTGTTTGGTTCTTCTCTTTCCTGTCTATGAAGAAGATACAGGGCATCCATCAGCGAGGGAGAAAAGGGGTTAGATAGGCAGCATGCAGTGTTTTCAAACTTGATGTATGAAGCTCTGTTCCTCTGTGTCTAGGTGGATGGAGGTCGGGCGTTATTCAATCGAACAATGGAACACTCTATATATCGTCGACTGGAACCGCATATTTCTTTGAATGTAGGTGGAATCAGCTTGTTGCTCAATGGTTCTTCAGGGGGGGGGGTGAATGCGCTCAGCAAGAATTTTACCCTTGACAAGAATCCGTCGCTGCCAGTTTTGCTTTCTGACATGAAGAAAGGTGGCCGCGAGGGGGTAAGGAGAAGCTGATGGATGCGTATGAGGAATGTGAGGTAGATATCCTCATTAGGAGAGAGGGTTGGATTTAAGCAATCATTTTATACAATCCAAACGCCCTCCTATCATTCTTTACATACACAGGAACTTGCACTCTGCCGTCCCATCTCATCTCTGTCCCCATCTGGTCGACGTGCATGCTTCGCATTTTCTTTCTCTGGAGATTCCATTGATTGGAAATTCGATCTTGTCCCCCCCTGCCTGGCCCTACTCCGTACGGCGTACACTACCTAGCATACGAAGTATACTATGCGTATATATATATATCTCATATCGACTGCACAGGCTCACAGCGTAACCCACGACCCGACGACACCCTCCAGTACGGAGTACAGTAGTTACGCAGTAGTAGTAGAGAATAGTTAACCACACAATAATATCATATCGGTACCAGCAAGATAACTAGCGTGCGCCACTCTTCTCCACACCTAGCGTCGTTCTTTCTCTTCAATAACTTTGCGACCCAAGCCCAAACTGTGGATCTCATTTTTCATCCCGTACTGTAACTACGGAGGGCGCTATCAAAAGAATTGCGCCGGCAAAAAGACAGCTAGACAGCACCACAAATCTTGGCGGCAATTCACACTGTATTTTATACTGAATATTCAGCTCTTGATTATTCCTTGTCTCCACTACCATTCAACATGGAATCTACCACTCTTTTTAACATGTAATCTACATGCCAATCTACCAGCCAATCTGCGTGCCAATCTGCCCACCCCGAGGAGCCAGATGAGTATTCTATTCCTCCACCTGGCCGTGCCCGTGCCGCCTTCCTTCTCTATACTCATTGCCACCTTCTAACTCTATAATCTTTTCAATATGTACAGGAATCCGCTCAATCCATGCCTGTATCTTCTCTTGTGACAGATCCTTCCATGCCTGCTCCCATACTCTAACTGCTTCCATGCGGTTCTTAGGAGCTCCTTTTTTTGTTGTTCTGTGCTTCATCCAAGGCCAAGCTGCCTCAATCGCATTGAGATCAGGCGAATTCCCACATCAAAGCAGCTGTTGAATCCCATGAATATCATACGTATGATATTGAATATAGTGATTGTGTGAAGGGGCCTTATCCTCTTGCACAATAGTATTTGGACATTCAATTTGACACTCTTTTGCAAAGGGGAATAGCTTCAGTAAGAGAATTTGAACTTGATAGTGATACCAATCAATTCCACCACCATCTTTGCCACAAGATAGCTTGCCTATGGCCTTTTCGAACTTCCATATTGATTTTTGACCTGGCTTCTATGTAGGCTTTGTTTTTCGCAGGCCTGCTTTGCGAAGAATCCTTCATATAGTCAAAGATATCTCAATTCCTTCATTACTAAATTCATTGACAAGATCAGTACATGTGTTTTCTCATTCATATCAATCATGTCAAACCTTTGCAAATATAGCATCCTTAATACTATCATTTCCCAGAGTTGGTCGGCCAGATTTGGGGGCATCTCGAAGCCATTCATCGCGAAGTATAATATGAAGCAGTTCAGGATTGAATCCGCGTTCAATTGCACGTTTATATATACGGTTGATTTGACTCTTTGAGATCTGGGTGATTTCCGTGATTTCAGCATTTGACTTGCCAAAATAGGGTGATTTAAGAGCCACCACAAGAGCTCTTGTGGCGATATCGGTATTTGGTGCCATATGAAATTGGCAGATGAGATATTAGAGATGAGATATTTGAGAAAAAAGAGGAATCAATTCAGAATACGTGGCAATCTCATATAAATAGAATGTGGGGTGATTTGAAGCTAAATGTACTTACTCGTTAAAACATGGTGGCGCTTCTTAGCTGTAAAAATTGAATCTGAGCGGCGCAACTCTTTTGATAGCCTCCGTACGGAGGACTGCGTAAGTTACACCCTCCCCTGAGTTCCCGGAATAGGCAAGTTTTGCCAGTGCGGCCAATTGAGGGCTTTGAAGCGGGTCAGTGCATTCGGCGGCTTGAGGCTAGGACGGATGGCGGCGGTTAGTGGGTCGTTTAGCGTTTAGCGGGCTTGGGGAAAACTGGACAAGGATGCTGATTTTGTGGGTTTTTTTTTTTTTTTTTTTTTTTTTTTTTTTTTCCAATAGGGGGCCCTTTTTGTACCAAGTCCTATATTGTGCCGGAGGAATGAACGGATTTTTGGGCTGGTGTGTCCAGTAGTAATCAGTCAGTGCAAGGAGAGCAGATAATTACTGTGTACGGAGTTGTGGAGGTAAAGGTGGCTCGTGTGTTGTTGATGGGTGTGGTGGCTTTATTATCGGGATAAATTGCTGGGGATATTATGGCCAAGCAGGGGAAGAAAAGAGGAGAGTTACAGAGTGGTTATGCAGTGTGCCCCTACTTACCCCTTACACATACATATATGCATGCATGCATTGAGGAAAAGGGATGATGCCATATTTTGATAGAGAAAATGAATCGAACCCAGCTCATTTCATAATTTGTTCTTTTCTAGCAACCCCTTTCAAATTGCATGGTGAAGTAGTTGGTTATACAAGTTACGCAGTAGGCAACATGTAAAAAAAAAGGACCATTTGTTACTTAGTTAAAATATCTCTCAACCGCTCCGCCTACAAGTGATCATCGCAAAAGGATCGCAAAAGGAGGATTGGAATGCACGAATGCTTGGATGTCCGGGGACTCCTCCTCTATCTTCCTCGTCTATCTCCGCAACCACTGCTTGATGATGAAATATTAATGTAGAGGGTTTCACTCTCAGCTTCGGAGTAGTTGTATATATATATTTAGATAGATAGATAGATAGATAGATAGATATCGTATACGCTGCGTATATCCAACTGATCCTCGTACTCCGGTGCCATCATGAACCAACTAGTCATCGACGCTAGAGTGACACTCAACAGGCAAGCGAGTGGAGCAAAGGGCCCCCTGCAAGGGCAACATGGCCTGTCCATGACAATAAGAGTGATAAGAGTGATAATAAGAGTGTTGTTTTTGGACAGTTCTGCTGCCGTCGGGCTCTAATCCGGATGGTTGTCCCGCTGGCAGCTGGGGGCGGCAGTGGTTCATGATTCGGCGTTCAACAGAGCGTTCAACAGAGCGTTCAACAGAGCGTTCAACAGAATAAAAGAACAGTCTGGACACTCCGTACTCGTATCTCAGCTCAGCTCGCGTGGGAGAGCATGGACGTGTTTTTATGCCTGAGAGTTATCTTCCGCATCAACTTCATCATTATTATTAAGAGCGGAGCAGAGTCAGTATTCGTAACGCCGTTGCGTTGCATTTCTTTTCTTTTATTCATTGAATACAGACTAGAAAATCCCCCCCGCTACAAATTCCCCCTTGTGGTTCTGTGCATCCGCCATCGCCCCATGCCCAAGACCCTTGGCGGAGCTAAAGGGATAGCTTAATATTGGGCCTGGAAAATGTGGGAACGAACCACGGCTGGTGATTTCGGGAGGGGAGGAAGCAGAGGGATTTTTTGCATGGGGTGGGGAAGAAGATATAAAAGAGTATTGCTAGAGATAGAAAGGATCATGTAAGTATACTCCGTACAGCGTAGATATATAAATGTAGATAGATATGTAGGAGGAATCAGACACGTATCGTATGTAGAGTCGAACCAGCCAACAACTGCCCATCAATCCCTGGCCTGACATCTCATCTCATCTGGGATAGACGAAGATGAATGACTGTCTGGTCTGTCTATCTTGTCCTGTCTTGGGTGGAACTGCAGCGATCAGTTCACTGCGACTCCTGGCTGCGTGGGTCGGATTAAATAAGTTATAAGTTGGAATTGGGATTGGGATTGGGATTGGGATATCGTCGTCGTCGTCGTCGTCGTCAATTTTCTTTCTTTCTTGCTTCCCCGCCTCGCCTCGTCTCGTCTCGTCTCGTCTTCTGCTCCCTCCCTGCTATCTTTTCTGTCTCCCTCCCTCTTCTCCCTCCCTCTCCCTGTCTATCCTTCTCCCTCTCTGTCTATTCCTCCTTCGAGCTGGCTTGGCTGTGGTGTCAGTCGCCCAGCTCTCTCAATCGTCTTTCTCTTTCTCTTCCTCCTCTCCCCCACCTGGAGTGGCCTCATCCCAACTAACCAACCTGTTCGACACAACCTACTCAAGGGGTGCAGGCCTGTCGATTGATATCTGGATGATTCCCTCTTCTTCTCGGTTTTATGTGTTTCTGGTTACTTGCTGCTTTTCCCTTCTTCTTCTTCTTCTTTTTTGCCGCCGCAAATAAATGTTCGCTTTCCTCCCCCTTCTAGCCGCTCCCTGGAGACTCGTTCTCTCGCTCTTTGAGGGTGGAAGCGACAATAATGGCCGGAGTGTGAAATGGCTGGATGTGAGTTTGCTATATCTCTTCCCCCATCCCCACCCTGACGTCGTATTATTCCTATCTATATACCCCGTTCTGAGTCGGGAATTGGTGCTTGATGCAGAGCCTCACTCCCAAACCTTCTTTTTTTTTTTTAAAAAAAAAAAAAATCTCTTTTCCATTCTCTTTCCTTCCCCTTTTTCTGCCTTTTCATATACATATACATGTGTACATGTACACTCTGCTAATCAAGATATCTCTCTGTCTCATCTGTAGGGTTTGCGCGGGATCGCTTCCGTCCTCGTCATTCTCACCCACCTCGCCCGAGCCTGGGACTACGACCTCTTCTCCCCGCAAAATGGCGAAGACATCCCCCCCCGATTGCTCCAGCTGCCCATCCTGCGCATCCCCTGGCAGGGCAGAATCGGCGTCACCATCTTCGCCTTCCTGACCGGCTATGTCTGCGCCCTGAAGCCGCTCAAGCTCTCCCGTGCCGGAAACTATACCGCTGCCTTCTCCTCCATCTCCAAGAGCGCCTTCCGCCGCCCGCCTCGTCTCATCCTCCCCGCAGCAATTGCCATGGTCATCGCCTGGCTGGTGGCGCAGTTGGGCGGTTTCACTGTGGGCAATAGGGCGGATTCGGATTGGATTCGCTTCGCGAGCCCCGTGGTGGAGGACTCGGTTTTCAAGGAAATCGTGCGCCTGTTCCGCGTCTTCCTGAATACCTGGACAAATGGGCATATGGACTACGACGACCACCAGTGGGCACTCCTGCCGCTGCTCAAGGGTTCTATGATTATCTATGTCGTGCTCTGTGGCACGATGTACATGCAGTACCGCTTTCGGATGATGGTGTACGCCATCATGTTCATGTACTTCTGGCAGCATCCGGGTCCTGATACTGGTTAGTGACAAAAAAACCCACCCGTTGCAAATCATCAAAAGTTCTATCAAGTAACTCCCGCAGAAACCTTCGGCCAACAATTCTTTGTCGGCATGTTCCTCTCCGACCTCGCCAACGACCAATCCTTCCAATCCTACGTTTCCTCCCTCACCTGGTCCCGGCGCATTTTCAGCTTCACAATCGCCTTCCTGGGCCTCTTCCTCGCCTCCTTCCCCGGCGAACGGCCTGAATTCGCCCCCTGGTCCCGCTTCCTCCTTGCAATCGGCCGCGCCATCTTCCCCAACAACGTTAAACTAGGAAAACGCTTCTCAGCCCTAGGCCTCGACCTCATCATCGTTGCAATCTATCTGTCCCCCACCACCAAATCCATCCTCTCCAAACGCCTTTTCCTCTTTCTCGGCCGCAACAGCTTCGCCGTCTACCTCTGCCACGGCACCCTGCTGCGCGTCGCCCTCACCTGGATGATCTACGGCATCTCCGGCCAGCCGTGGGAGCCCACCACCAACGAGGCCGGCAAGGTCGTGAAGCCGCCCTGGCTGCCCCGCGGTGGACCGATGGTTTTCGCGGTCTCGATCCCCATCTGGCTTTGCATCGTGTATGGCGTCGCGCACCTGTGGACGACGTATGTCGATTCGTTCTGCGCCCGACTTACGCATCGGCTGGAGATGCATGTTTTTGAGCCGGATGAAAAGGCGCGGCAGGTTGGGCTGCCGCGATAACGAACTTTGATTTTATTTTGTTTAAAGCTTCATTAATCTATTTTTTTTTTTCCCCTTTTGCGGTTTCTCGGTTGGATTTTTCCCGTGATATAGAAGAAATCTTCGCGGGGCCACGGCTCCGCGCCCGTGCATGCATCCTTCCACACATGCATTTGCCGCCAAATCGGGGTTGTAAAACAGCCAGCCAGACCAACCCCCGTGGTGTTTTTTTCGGAAATCTACTCCTACTCCTATTATCATTTGTCATAATTCCATTTTAAAATCCCATATCATTCTACTTCCGTTTTATTGTTCCTTTCTATCCTTTTTCCTTTCTTTTCTTTTTCTTTTTCTTTTTCTTTTTCTTTTTTTAATTCCTTTTTTAAATCCTTTCCAACCTCTATACCAATTACATGCTTCAATGTCGGTTGTATTTCTTGTATTTTTTGCGCGAACCTTGCTCTTTTTATGTACATATATATATATACATTATTCCCCGCGTGCTGCTGCCGCTGCCGCTGCATGTAGCTCTGGTTTTGTGGTCTTTAGATTTTTGATCATACATTTTATTTAGTTTTGTTCTTTTCTTTTCTTTTTTCTTTTCGTTCCGTTCCTTTTTTCATGGATTTTTATTTCCTGAGAGTAGTCTTATAGATACTATCTGTGTTATGTGCACGTACTTGATACCTTCAGTCCTTTGTGAGCACTTTGATAGCGGAAGAAGGAGTAGATGTTTATACCACTGCTTCTTTTACGGGCGCTTGATCTTATTCACAGAGTTATTTTATCTGAGCGTTTATGCAATGGATGTACGGAGTATATATGATGTTTGCGGCATGAGATATGAAGAATGTGTATTTGGAAGGTTCCAAGATAAGGTACACGTACATATGCTAACCCGTATATATGTAAGTGGGCCACAAGCTCCATGGAAAGAATAAAAGACAAAAAAAGCTTGCTCTGTGATTTGTTTTTTTGTATCATCTCTTGTTTGCTTTTGTAAATGGTGTTTTTTTGTGGTGGTGAGGATGGTGGTGGTGATGTGAATGATAGAAGGGACCTGCGTCTTGTCTAGTGATAGATATCTTTCTCTATGTACATGTATGTGGGAAGATTAGGAAAAAGGCGGGGGAAGTAATCGCACAGGGTATGTATGTATGGATGGATGGGCTAGCAAACGATAGGAGTATGGCCAAAAAGGTGGGAAGCATTAGGTGTAGGTGGGCGTAAGTGATGGGGGAAAAGGGATGAGTGAAAAGAGTGAAAATGGGATAGAAACACATGACGAAAGAAAAAAAAAGAAGGAATGAAAGAGAGAACAATCGCTTGCTTGATAGGAGTACAGGGGATCTAGGTAAATGAGTGCAAATCAAAAAAAAAGAAATCAAAAAAAAAAAGAAAACAAAAAAAGAAAAGGAAAAAGAAAAAAAAAAAAAAAAAAACCGAAACCGAAACCGAAACCGAAACTGAAACAGAAAGAACAATTCCTCGAGGTTCCATCACCGACGGACAGCCTTGTTTCGCCGGTTTATCCTGTCCTACCCATGTCCATGTCCATGCCCATGCCCATGCCCATCCATGCCCGTGCCGGCCAGTCCACCTCTATCCAATGGTTGGTTGTCCCTCTAAATCTCAAAGCCAATGAAATAAAATAGAATAAAACAGATGAAGGAGAGTAAAAATAAAAGGAGAAAAGTAAGAGCACGGAGCATATTCTACCGGGGATGAATTAAGCTTCCCCCTCCTCCCCCAGGCTCTCGCCGTTTAGTCCTGTTCTTTGTTTGGAGGCCAGCCATCCGTGAATTGAAGAAGACAGGGATAAAGAAAAGGAAAAAGAAGAAGGAGAAAAAGGCGACAAGACAGAGGGGTATTAAGAAGGGTTATACTGTACATGTACAGATGGCTGATGCAAGAAGAGAGATAATGCAGAAAACCAAAGAGAGGAAAACAAATGTAACAAAAAACATAGGGCTAGAGGAAAGGGGAAAGAAATATGATATGATAGACTAAGCCTAGAAATGTTGGTGTACAAAAGGGGATGCAGATGGGGATACAAATGGGGAAAAGGAAAAACTGGAAGGAAGAGAATAATCCGCAATAATGCGGAGAGAAATAGTTGTACATGTACAAGGCAGTGCGATGAGGCGGCGGGGCGAGGGGGGGGGCATATCTTTCGACAAGCAGATTCGGAATTGGGGAGTAGTTCATCGCACCGATGCGAAGAGTTGGCGGGAGAGAGAGAACGCTGGCGGTAGTGAAGTAGAGCCCGGGGGGGGTGTTGCTCGGTTTGCTCGCGTATCAATCTACGTTTGTCAAAAGAGGGTGTGGGTGGTGGTTGTTGTGAGAATAAAAGACCGTTTCTTTCTTTGTTTGCCAATTGCACCTCACTTTTTCCCTGTCCTTCCCGGGACTCTTCTTGCTGGGGAGGGGGGAGGAGGAGAGAGAAGATATGTATTGACCGCCGAGTCACCAGGACTCGTCAGAATGCGTTTGTGGTGTGATGAGCTTGTATTCGTCCGCATTTTGCTTTCGTTGAGGTAAAGAGGGCCTCGATCCGCTTGGCCTCCCGTCTCCAGCTGGCGCAGCCGTCATTGTCACCGCCGGTGTCTATTTCCATCGGCCGTCTCCCCAGTCGGAACGCCTCTTCTCGTCGTAAGTGCGGCTTCCGTGGTTGTGTACAACTACTGACGCTGGCTTTTTGGAGGTCGGGTCCCTTTGATGCTGTCCTGCGAAGGTTGAAGTCTTTCGTTAGTGAGTGATGAAGTGTGTGAGGGGTAGAGTCCCTTTTTTTTTTCGCTCTGAGAGTGTGGGAGAGCGGTGGGAGCCCGTACGGAGGGGAGTAGGAAGCATTGAGGCATACCTTGTGCATTGTGGACTCTAACATTTTTGCTATCCCCAGCAGACAACGTGCTGGACGGGTACGAGTCAACTTTGTGAGGCATGGTGGCGGGGGTTGTTGATGTGCAGTGGGTGGTGTAGATATGTGGTGGGGTAAATGGACCAAAAAAAAAGAAAAAAAAAAAAAAAAAAAAAAGCGCAAGATGGGATGACTCGACGCGAAGAGAGTGAGTACCAGAGGGATGAAGAGGCCAGAAGGGTAATCGCTGTAGAAGATTGACAGCGTAGAGGAGGTTTCAAAAGAATAAATATCCCCAAGTAAGAGGTCTAATGGCTGAGTAGTAGGAGCCTGGTGATGGTGAGGTAAAGAGTCAGTTTGGTTGATGTGGTTGGTTATCTTATCAGAGCGTAGATCTTGGGAGGGAGATGAAAATTTGGCGGGGGAGGGATGAGCTTTTTATACCAGCAGATTTTGCGGTTGGGCGGAGGCTGCTTAGACTTTTTTTTAATTATTACTATTATTCAACCTGTAGGAAGAGACAGTGCAGAGAGGAATAAGGTGTTTGCTCAAGCAAAGGAAGCAATGGAAGCGATGCTCCCCCAGAAAATGCACGTCCTGGCTGATTCAAGATCGCGGGGTAAGACAGGCAGCAAAGCGACAAAGAAGGAGGAATTGGCAAGGCACCGAACGAAAAGCGCCTGGGAAGCTATGTCGGTGGCGAGAGGAGGAGGAAAAGAATGAAGCGTCCTGTTCAGGCAGAACTTATTGGCCTGAGGGCCACCGGAAGATGAAAGTGGCCTCGGAAAGCAACCCAGGTTGCGGAATGCCGATTTTTCTCCAACTGATGGCTGTCATACAGAAAAGCTTCATGATCAAACGGACTAGACGTTTTGCTGAGAGCGATGCGGTCAAGAAAATAGCAGGGGGAAAGCAAAAGGAGAAGGGAGGGAAGAGTTAGCTTCATCGGTGCCTACTGTTCTAATTGCTCGACAGCACTGGGCGCTCGAAACGGACGGGAATGGGTCCTCAGCCCAGTGCGTCATCCTAGGCCGGCAGTGTTCTGGTGGATTATGATTCACCTCGCATCAGCCTCTTAAAACCGCTATGGGGAGATCTGGTGCGTTGCTTCATGCCAGGGACGCCCCTCAAGCCGGCTCGATTGGGCCGCCCGGATGCCCAAGCCAGCCAGTGAGCGGCAGCCAAGAACAAGGCTGGAGGCAGATATCGTGCTCTCCATCCCTATTGGGAACGATGCCTTGATGTTTTGTTTCCACGCCCAGGGCTGGTATGGGCCACTAGGCATTCCTTGGTCTGCAGCCTGTAATAAACAATTGTTAACACCGGAAACAGTTAGCGGGGTTTGCTTCCTTACCTAAAGAAGTGCCCCCAGCACGGAGTAGAAGGCGCCAATTTACGCTGCGTACTCCGTATAGCGTAGTGCTCTGGAAATGATTTGCTCCCTGGAGATGACTGAGCCCTGACTGGCTGATAAAAATATAGCTGCAGCGCAATGACGAGCACGCGACCATCAGAAATTCGGGGCTTGGAGAGATCAAACAGGGCAAACAGCAAGTTACAAAAGAGCCAGATCAGGACAGACATTGAGCTCAGGCAACGTTGGGCAGCTTGGGCATTCTCGTAGCATCTAATAATAATCATAGGATGGAGGAAGATATTGGAGGAAAATGAGGATGGGCGCTGTTAGGGCTAGGGCTCGCCCAATCCGGCGTAGTCTGGTATTGTATAGTCCTATACATTACATACAGTACATACATACCCCCGTGCAGGATTATTCAACATGAGTCTACTTCATTCTTTTCGCTTTTCTTTTCTTTCCATTTGAGTTGTTTGGTAGGCGTGGCTACGTACATATTACATCTTCTCAAGTCTTGAGATGTCGGAAAGGTATGACGAGAATAGATGTCCACAAATGTTTCCATCCAAGGCCTTGCGGTTGAGTTCTGGATACTACAAGTGCCATCCCGGCTACGGGCCGTCCCAAAAACAGGTTCTCCTGCCGATGGGAATGTCTGGGTGTCTTCGGAATCCTGGTCCATCAAGGATTATAGGAAAGAAAGATCTAGATGAAGAGATTAGCAGCGAGGAAAAGCCCAGTAGAGCTGTGCGAAGAGCAACAACTACGACATATTCGTCTAATATATCAGGTTTCAGTTGCAAACAACAACACCAAGCTGTTTGTAACAGTATATGTGCCAAATGTGATAGGGGCCTCAATTCTCGGGCGGCGTTAGTCTTGCTCCCAGTTGAACCCCTTTCTTCTCCCTGATCAGAACACTGAAGAACTGAGTTAACCGTGCCATGCTTACTCACTCTCTGTAGTGAGTGCACCACAGTGTATGGAAAACCACACTGTAAAGAAAATATTTTGAATATAGTAATCTTCAAAAATTAATTAATAATCACCATCACATCTATCTATAATATAAAGATTATCTATATACTCATTAGAAGATGTAGAATCCACTGTAAGTTGAGATTCTTGTCACGCCCCTGGCCGCGCCAAGGCCCCGCTGCGGTTCCACACGGCCCATCGCTTCCATGCGGATGATTCCATCCCGTCCGAACCGGTTTCCAACCACCCTATGACATCATTCGGATATATCATAGGAAGATCCGATTGATGGATATGAGAACCCCGCTTCTATACAAGGTCAGCAGATTACTTTTCCTTGGCAGTGAGACGCTGCTGAGGTATTGCTCCAGCTATTCTCACTCATGAAATGAGAGGAGGTATTCACTCATTGTCTATATAGAATAACTAGATACTGACTTCTTATAAAAGAAGTCAGTGATTTATTTCTTTTACTATAACTGAAATATATATAAGAGTTACTACATATCTCATACAATCTTCTTAGTATACTAAGTATCATATCTGTGATATTCTCACAATAACTCTGTAGCCTACAAGCTCACTATTCAAGCAAGATAGTTAAGCTCACTTATACAGCTTCTCAAACAACTACTTCTATATATTATCACTGACTAGTTATCACTTCAGTTTCACTATATTACAATTCAAATCACTTAATCTGATTATAAGTTTGAATCAGTCAAGCTCTAACAGACTGATATGATCTCACACATCTATACTGAGACTAGACTGGCCGGTGAGATCATGAATTTCACATTTGGTTCCATTTGGTCTGATCTCATACATTTCTTGACATGAGTCTCACCAGAACCAAGCCTCAAAAAAATCTGAAAATGAATCATTTCTGAGAGAAATGACATGAAAAATGATCAGATTTAATTCAAGAACAGTGAAATGAAAGTAATTTCTCAGAATAAACTGTGAAAGATAATCATTCTTTCAAAATCAGAATGAGACTGAGACTGAAGATTAAAATCAGTCTCATTCAGTTCATTCAGTGATTACTTATATAATCAGAATTTGATAACAATTATTGATAACACTCATGAAACAACTAAATACATTCTTGTGTAAGTTTATTCTTCACTTTCTCATGAAAACTACACTTCTCTGATATACTGTGATCAGAGGTATTAAACTGTCTGATAATTTCATGTTTTATAATCATGAGTTTCTTGATTATTTCTTCTTGTAATTGTCTCTGATAATAGTGATAAATATCTTAACTTGAGTTGAACTTTCACTTCATTCTCATCTCTGTTAATGAAATTGTCAGAATATCATATATTATCAGTGTAACAGTTGAATATGTACTCTCAACAATTTTTCATAACTCTAGAATTGATTTGATGTGTAAATTTATCAGATCATCTTGAAGATAACAGTTAAATTCAGTTTTACAAGTATGTAGTTTTATCTGATTTTCAGTTGCAATCAATGTATGTAAGTTCTGTTTCAAAGTTAGTATTATAGTTCTATGAGATATGAAGTGTTATCAAAGATCATTACTTACTAGGAAATTGTATTTCACTGTCTTCACATCTCAAACATCTGCTTATTCAAATCTCTGATAGTTGGCATTGTAGTAGTCTCAGACTAATTTAATATATGAGTCTCATTCCTCCTCTGTTCAATCTTGAGAAGTATAGATATTAACTTAATGAGAGAGATCTAGTAGAGCTGCTATAGCATAGTACTCTGTAAAAGATTGTTCAGTTTTACTATAGTAATATGTCAGTTTATTTCTTACAGCAATAATAATCTGTACTATAGCATCATCTCAGACTGAATTTCTTTTTGAGTGATTCAACTACTTCTTAAGATAAGTAAATAAACTGTTATACACTTATCAGACTGACTGCAGTATTGATGTATAAGTGATTAAGACTGTCTTTATTATCTTATAAAACTGAAACAGTAAATCAATCACATATTTCAACTGAGTTCACTTCATATCAGAAAGTTTCAATATCTGAATCTTTTTTTAATCAGAGTGTTGCACTCAATGATCAATTATCTGATACAATCAAAAAGTCTGAACAGTTATCTCATATATTAAACTTCACTGTGTTCTAACATTCTGTATCATATTCAGTGATGTGACTGATTTGTTTGTTTGTTGAATATCATGAAATCATTGTTATTATTTAGAAGAGATACAAATCACATTAGTAATGTTTCAAATCTATGATATTTAAATTATTAGTCAATCTATTCAAAATTAACAGTAGTGTTATTAAAAAGCATTATTAAAAAGCAATATTAAAAAGTGTTATCAAAAAACATTATCTTTTACAAAGTGAATGTAAAAGTTACTTGAGTAATCACTTTCATCTCATTCTCATCTCAAGAATCAGTCATCTCATTATTCTTTATCTTGATGTTAAGATTCTTTATCAGTGTTTGCATTACAAGTTGAATCATATGAGCAATGCAGAGAATATGACCTTGTTTATCATTTCAGAAATACAAAGCCAATTTTTACTCTAAGCTCTTCATCATAGTGTAGTTATTTGCAGCATTATCAGTTATAATTATAAGAAGACTGAGACTAATATTCTAATAGTCATTTTTAATCACAGTTATTAATATCTCTGTCATATAATTCTCAGTATGACTACTGATCAATGATTCAAATTCAATTAATATCTCTTGATAAGTTCAGTTCTCATCAATGTAATAACATGTAACTCTTATAAATGTAAGATTGTTTGTACTAGTTCATGCATTCACAGTGAGAGATACTCTTTGATAATTCTTCAACTCTGATTCTAGATATTGCATATTGACTTTGTAGTGTGTCTCAAGGTTGGACTGAAGACAGAATCAATGTGAAATATGAAGATTTGAATTAAGCATTTGAAGAAGTGTTCAGAATTCAGGGTTTTCAATTGATTGAAGAGAAAGATTCAGAGATATACACATGTAAAGTAATTATTCACAGAAGTTATCAGATGAGAGTTGTGAAATCAGAGTACTGATATATAGTTGTTTTTGCATGATTTTCTTCAAATTAGAAAGTTAGTGTTATCAAAAATTGTTATCTGATAGAGTAACTTACCAGCTCAGTAGTAATTTTCTGATTATTTTTCTTTTATTATCTGCATTCTGATGACTTCAGATGTCAGAAAATTTCTTCAGAGTTATGACTAGTTCATGATGAATGTTTCTGAATGAAGTTGCAGTGATTGCAGCAGAGAGATAACTCTCTGATAATCTGCAATACAATCTGTTGATAATTATTTCATAGTTCATCTTAATGTTTGTGTTGAGTTTTTCATAAATTTCATGACCTGGAATCAGATGTGAAGAATGAAGTGATCATTCATCATGATTGAAAGAGAGCATTCTGTGTTAAATTGTAAACAATATAGACTTTGTGATTCACAGTGATTTCTTGAAGAGTTTGTGAATCTTCAGTAGAAGTAAAAGAAGTGAAAGAAGTGAATTCAGAAGACATAATAATAATTTGAGAAAGATGATAATTTATTTTCAATAACTAATCACTGATGTGTGTAAGAAGAATTAATATAAGAGAAAATAATCTTGTTTCTTAGCTTAGTTATAATTTTAGTACTAACTCAGATTGAATATCATTGATGTATAAAAGTAAATAAACAATCTTGATTAATCTCTATCATATTTCTTAAAATATATTAATATTGTAAAAGAGAGTGTTATCAAATTGTGTTATTAGATAATATCATTAAAAATATATTAATATTATGAATATCAATGTTGAAAAAATGTTGATACTTATATATTATAGTGATTTGTGAATCATGATAGTTAAATATATATATATATATATATCATTCCTGACTTGATTACAACTTGTACAATAATTTTTGAAAACTCAAAATCAATTTTAATTATTAATAATTAAAAACTTAAACTTATAACTAACTAATATAAAAAGAAAAAAATCTACTTCTTCTCTTTCTCATTCTTCTTATCATTCTTTATAATTCACTTCTCATTCTTCTTCTTCTTCTTCTCCTCCTCATCTGAGATGATAATCATCTCAAAATCTCTCTTCACTGCCTTCTCAGAGAAGGGTTTCTGCTGCTCTCTCTCAGCCAGGTCAACCTGCATCTTAAAATCCTGCATTTTCTGATCTGCTGCCTCGGGTTCCATCTCAGCAGCAAGCAGATTGACATACTCAGAGAGCAGGGCTGTCTTCTCAATGTTCTGAATTATGAAGTGCATTTGAGACCTGAATAAGGCCTCAATTCTCTTCTTCTCTGCCAGCTTCTGCTAATCAATTAGAGAACAGAAGTGTTATTAAAAATCATTATCTCTCAATAAGTAAAAAACTTACTAGTTTTGACTTCTTTATCTCTCACTTTAACACCTTCTCAATCTTCTTCTGTCACTGCTTATTTATAGTAATACTCTTCTTCTCTCTCTCTCTCTTCATCTTGAACTCAAATCATTCTTAAAACTTCTTCTGATTCTACTGCTGCTGCATGAGACTCTTCACTGTCTTCTTCTTCAATCTCTCATAAGCAGTGTCATTCACATTATTTCTATACTTAGTTCAGTCTAAATCTATCAGAAGTGTTACTTAAAATTGTTATTATTCTGCTTTCTTACAGAGCCTCTTCAAGGCATTATAATGTGTCTTACAATCTGTCTTCTCTCACTTAAACACCTTCTTCTTCTCTCTCTTCAATCTGTG